CGCGTGTGTGTGTGTGTGCGCGCGCGTGTGTGTGTGCGCGCGCGCGCGCGTTTGTGTGTATATGTGTAGAGCAAAGTATCTTATTAATTAAAAAAAGAGAATGTAGAGTTAAATTAATCTATCATTGTGGAATCTGTTAAAAAAAGAGCTTCTTTTCCATTGATACGTTCATTTTTTATATTGAATTTTTACAAATTCTTTTTACAAATAGTAATTTTGTTACAAATTATCTTTAAATACAAAATTAGATTTATAATTATTCCTTAATTTTTTACTACATATTTTAGATTGCTCTTAAACGCTAAGAAATGAATTATTCTATTATAATATTGGTTATATAATTATAAAAATTTTGTATGTATTTTATATTATCTAATAAATGATTGTTGTGCATTGTAGCTTTGTAAATTGCAAAATTTCTTATCTACCGTACGATCATGTAATCTACTATTAGAAGTATTATTTCTCAGTAAACATTAGATAAATTGATGATAAGAGTTTCTACGAATCGATATCTCATTATACATTAATTATTTCATAACATGTTAAATATACGAGGTGGAATTACTGTACCAATTTCCTAGCATTCTGTAATGTCTAAAAATAGATAAATATCCTATGTCTAAGTTTCTTATTCTTTCTTTATTTTATTTACTAATTTCAAAATTCATAATAAAATAATCAAAGTATGTTAAAAAAAGATGTTGAAAAAGAAAATGTTTAAGAACCATGAAGCATGCACGTAGTTCCGGTTTTTGAAATGACGAATCCAATTCTTGGAACGATGTCTTGACAACATCTTCGAATCGCCTATGCATTTTTACTTTCTTCTACCTTTCACAGAGGTAGATACTCCCAATGGATAACGATTCGCTTAAGCTTGGCCACTTGCTCGTGCCAATGTAACAGGCTGTAATAGACCAAGATTGTGATAAATGAACGGTGAATTAGTATTGGCTGATTGACCGGCCGACCTTCCGTTTGCAGGCGCGCGTTATGTATGAGCACCGGCCGATCTCTCCTCCTGTCATCTCTCCTGTCATGCCGTGTGAACCTCAGCGCAATGGTTAATTCAGTGCTGTTCCATTGGAAGGTTTTCCTTCATTTGAAAGGTTTTAAAACTCATCGAAAGGTCGAAGAAATGTTTTTGAAAATAAATGAAAATGGAAAGTTTTTTACTAATGCAAATTATAAAATGCATATATTCTATTCGGCGAAAGGAAATTGTCGATCTGCGTTTTGAAACTTTACTCAAGAACTCGAGTAACTAATACGATGTCTAGAACAGAAATCATAGCGTAGGATCACAAGTCATAGAAAATTGATCAATTATAATCGATTCTTCTCATTATTATTCTCGATTATTCGACTATGATTGGTTAATTTTCTACGACCTAAAACTACTACTTCTATTGTAGATACCGTGTTAAGTTTAAATATATACTATAATCGCAGAGAGCAAAAGATATAATTTTCTCTCTCAATCTCACAGATGAAGCATTTCACATCAAATCAGGAACCTTTGAAATATCGTTGTTTTTAATTTTTCTTTTATTTAATGGCATATTCTAGATAAAATGAGACAATGTTTCGTAAAAAAAATTTAATTCGTACAAAAAAAAATGCAAGAGATCAATTTTAAAGATCTCAAATAATTTCTTGCATTTTTTTTTATACGACTAATGGTTTCGACCGTTTCGACGATATAATAATTTGAAAGTTTGCATGAACGATTTTTTATGAATTTCTGCAATTTATAAGCGTGAATAACAAAAAAAAATTCAAATTTCTTTTGCGAAATACATGTCACATTTTTATCTGTAGCATATGTTAGTAAACAAAAAAAAATTTTTTGAATGACAATGTTTCAAAGGTGCGCGGTTTGAAGTTGAATGCCGGAGGCAAAATTCGCTCCATAAGGAGCTGATTATGTATCTTTAAACATGAGGTGAAAATTAGAAGAGTGAGCGAATTTGCTAGATGCTGAAAAACAATGAAATTATAAATAAATATACTAGTAAATTTGCTAGTTTATGTAATTTTCACCTTATTTCAAATACACAATCGATCCCCAGATATGTCTGGGATCAAGTGTGAACTGTATTTCCTCTGTTATTGATGGAAGGTTTCATCACGTTATTGAAGAATTTTCGTGTATGCGTGGAAGACTTTTCAGCGACCTGATGGAACAACATTGGGTTAATTAGTTCAAAGTGGCCTCTCATCCGCTTCGCCGTGACGGTGTGCAGAGAGAGACACTCCGACACGACTCGAACACTCGAATATGTACAGACCATATACAAGACTATTGTCATTAGGATTAGACTCGAGCGTGTTATTCGCATAGTGGATCACCTTGCAATGTTTACCTACATTGATTATTTTCCTCATCCTAGAGATACGCCTCCGTTCCGAGCGATCGAAACTCGTTTCGCTGAATCTTCTCTCTCATTATTGCCTTCCTCATAGTTACTTTGCGGCGTCAGTCGAAGGAACGCGTTCAAAGTTCGAACTTCTCTCGTTTTTTGTCAGTCTGAAGTAAGTCACAAATTCAAATTTTAACGATTAAATATGGATACTTCTTAATCGATTACTAGAAAATCACGCGATCGCATACAAGATGCAAAGTGAGACTTACTTCAATCAGTTGACGCGATATTCGAATCGGATTTAACACATTTTCACTTTTCGTCAAAATATAATCCTATAATAATCCTAACGATACTTTAAAGAATTTAAAAGTTTATTTTGAATAAATCTGCCGAAAAATGCGTATTCCCTCGCTCAGCTCTTTATCTAATTACTCTGAAAAAAGGATTAAATTCGCACGTAAATACGGATTTTAGCATTATTCTCCGTGTTTGCATCATTTCTCATGTGTAAGAGAATTAGAGATGACATATTTATATTAAAAATATATTTTTTTGCCTTCGCGCGTTTTAGTTTGATCAGCTGTCAAGGTAAATCGGACAGCTTAAGTAACAGTTAGGTTAGGTTAGTACTCTCAGATCTCGCATATTTGTCGTATCATCGCGACTGTATCTTTCGAGGATGGTGCTCTCGTTCACAGGATTGCCTTCTTCGAAACGACTGCTGTTGCACTTCTTACAATGTTCGCTATGTAAGTCGTCCACTGAAGAATTATCGAGACTATCTCGCGAGTGTAGAATCGATTTTCGAACGTGGTTTCGTTGTTATCAAAGTATGTTACAAGGTGTCATTACATTACAAATGCTCATTACAATAACGATTATTAGATTTAAAAACGTTTGAAATTTATAAAACAATTTTATAAACTTGGAAGAAAAAATCGAATCTTCTAATTTATCAGATTAATTAGTATTTTACACTTATTAATTCAATATTTAAAAAATTATATAATTACAAATATGTTAATAAAATTCCAAAAAAAATATTCCAAGGACGCATAATTGTTGATTATGCTGGTATATAAAGAAAAGAAAAATGTAATGAATGTAATGTTCTGTTCGATCGTAAGACGGAAGTGATCGTGTTGCACATGCGCTTGTTCGTCCGACCGCAACAAAGATATGCGCGGTCCTTTTCGGAGAATAATTACATTTATTAAAGCATTAATCATTGGATCATGCTGTGTTCGGAATAGCGTGATTGCATGTTCCTGCTATGTACCGTTTTCAGGTTGAATTGGCTGCCCACTCATTATTTGTTAAGAGTCATCGTAGGCGCGCGGTTCTCCGTTATCTCTTGAATCTATTCCAAGAATTTTCTTTTCGACGTGTATCCCTTCATCTGATTGTTCACTTTCTTGAGTACGTTCTATCTAGCAGCCTCTCCAAATTCAATTTGATCTTTGTCAAACTCAATTCGCATATTTAATTCACGTTCTTTTCAATAAATATAAGAGAAATATCATTGATTCCTCATTATTCCAGGTCACCGCACAATGGTGAGCAAACTCTGGTGTCAAGAGATTGGCTACAGGTGGAGACAGGCGGCCAAACAGGAGCCACCACAGGCGCGTGTGCTGTCCGAACCGAAGTGCCAGTCGTACGTGGCCATCTGGTATCTGTACTACCGCTGGATCATCTTCCTCGTCTGGGCCGCTTTTGTCATATGTTCGATGTTTGAATTTGGCAGTTACAAACCATTAATGCAGTATGAGAAATGGCCAATCTATCTGACCAACTGGGACATAGCTCTGGGCTTTACACAAGCGCTGATTGGCGGTATCCTTGTATCGAAGCGATGGCGATTGCAAAAGATATCCGGCTTTGATCCTTGCAATCTCAAACTGGAGTCCACTGAGCGATTATACTGGTTTCTATACGTTGTCACGACTAACATGGCAATTGGCGTGACGGTGAGCTACTGGCTCGCCGTATATAATCCAGCGATCCATCAGGTGGACCCGCTCAATATCATGATGCACGTGTGTAACAGCGTGCTGATGCTGATTGATCTATTTGTTACCAACATACCGTTCCGTCTGCGAAACTTCTGGTGGTGCCTATCGATCGTTATGTTCTATGTAATCTTCTCAGTGATTTACTATCTTGCTGGCGGCCTTGACAAGTATGGTTATCACTACATCTACAAAATTCTTGATTGGAAGAAGCCAGTGCGGACGTCACTCGTTTGTGTTGGCGGTTTCACGTTCGTGACAGTGCTGCATTGCATCACTTGTTTGTTGGCGAACATCAGAGACCGGATCTATCGCAAGACTGCTGAGAAAATCAACAAACCTGTGCAGATAAATATGACGAATGATAAATCGCTTCCAGAAAAACCAACGGAAGTAGTTTAATCATTAAAAATTTATATAGAAATATTTATTAATATTCTTAGCACATAAGGTCCCAAAGCATGGAACAATCTAATATTCGATAAGTTGAAATGAAACGTGTTTTCTTGACATGATTGCGTCTGTGAGTCTTGTAGAGTCTTTCTAGTAAGCTTTCTGTGACCACTCAACTTGCTTGTAAAAATGAAAAAGTATTAATAGGAAGTTAACAGTGATATATACAACTTTGAGTTTCATCCTTAGCAATATTTCTAGTAAACTAGAAAAACAATAATATAATTGCTAACGATAGTTATACTGATATAAATAGTATACTGATTAGAGATGGGCGATACAGCGCCGATATTTTAAATATTTACAGACTTTTCTCCTCGTTATTTTGTACCGATATTTCATCTTTCGATATTGATATATATCGATGTTTAAAAAGAAATATCGGACTTCTGACACGGTCCGTTAAGCCCGTGTTAATTTAGTATGAATTGAGATTGGATTGAAACTTCCATTATTTATAATATTTATTATATATATA